TTCTATCCTAGCAAGCAATGAACCTCTAAAGCGGTGCTTCCCAATAGGTTACTACAACTCATGAGATGCTTCATAGATTAACTTGTTACAGCAATTGATCAATTTCCAAAGTCTGAAATTATTTTTTAACATCTCCAGGAGTGTTGGCATCATTGTTATAATAGCCCTATTCTCACCAGCACTGTAGCATTCTAACTGGAAGACAAAAACTGGAGTTGGAGCTAGAGTGCTAGGCATACGTTCAAGCCACAGCTTACCAGAACCACTCATTGCAGATTGCTTCACCCAGCATATATTCCTGACCCAGCTTTCTCTTGCCTGCTTCTTCTATGACTAGAAATCATAAACATTCTTCCAGCTTTCCTTGCTGCTAGAGGTTGACATGAGATACAATTCTGAGCAATGGGACGTAAGGGGAGTCTATTCTCTTTTCTAGACATATGGGAAAAACCTTGACTGGCAAAGAGGACGTGCAGGAACTGCCGGGCAGTCGAAAGTTGGCTGGAGCCATGTATTTTAGGTCCTTGTGAGTTCAAAGTGTTGTTAAAGTGAAAACAACAGAGGAGGAGAGCTGCAAAGTGAGAGTTGGTGACTAAATGGAATGCGTCCGTGTGATTCTGGAGGGGTTTCAGTTTACAGGTAAGGTAGTAAGATGTTACCGTGGGAGTCGGTGGCTGAGGTCTTACAAAAAGACAAGATCATTGGTGGCACAGGGGTCAAGGAACCGAGGGGCCAAGGTTTTGGAAGTAGACGATACAGTAATCTGCAAGTACTGTGACAAGAGTAGTTACAGAGGAATGAGGCTGAACTTGGAGATAAAATCTTAAAGATCAGTCAAGTAAGACAGAAAGAAAAAAAAAAAAATCTTGGGCCGAGAGCGGTGGCTCACGCCTGTAATCCTAGCACTCTGGGAGGCCGAGGCAGGCGGATTGTTTGAGCTCAGGAGTTTGAGATCAGCCTGAGCAAGAGCGAGACCCCGTCTCTACTAAAAATAGAAAGAAATTAATTGGACAACTAAAAATATATAGAAAAAATTAGCCGGGCATGGTGGCGCATGCCTGTAGTCCCAGCTACTCGGGAGGCTGAGGCAGAAGGATTGCTTGAGCCCAGGAGTTTGAGGTTGCTGTGAGCTAGGATGACGCCACGGCACTCACTCTAGCCTGGGCAACACAGTGAGACTCTGTCTCAAAAAAAAAAAAAAAAAAAAAAAAATCTTCAAGAAATGAGAAAGAATAATCAGATTAGTAGATGACTGGATAAAGAAGGAAGAGTGGGTAGTATATAGTTTAATGACATGAAAAAATTAATGCTGGGGGCAGATTTGGGAAGAGAGATAATAGTTTGGAAAGAACAATGACCGAGAGAGATACCTGCCCCATGTCCAGGCCTAGGGGTGTAAGAGAAAAAACGGACCATTTGAAAGAGCTAGAGAGTCCTGGGGCTGGGTGGGAGTGGGAGGTAACCGACATTCCTCACTGAAATTTCATAGTAGTTATTAAGATGCCTCCTTTATAGGAAGAAATAGATTTTTTAAGTAAAATTTTGAAGTCTCAAAGCAACTATATCAACTGCAGAAGTTGGTGATAAACTAATGTTCTCTTGACCCTAAAAGTCTATACTCGCATTCCCTTTGTATTACACATTTTAAAATCCTAGAAAACTTCAAATATGAAGGGAAATACGAGGAATTAAACAAGTATCTACTCAAACCACCCAGCTTTGGTAAGTGCACCCAGTTTCCACCATGTCGTATCATCTCTCCAGTCCTGTGGAATCTCTACTCAAAGGAATATAATGCAATCATTAAAATTAATTCCATGAAAAATGTACAACAGTGAAAGGTACTGGTATATTTCTAAGGAGGTAAATTGAAAACTAATAAAACTGTTGTCTTAATATAAGGAAATAAACATAAATGAAAATATATTAGAGGCCTGGTAGATTAGTTTCATTTTAATCTATTTCCCAATTTTTAAAATCAAAACATTGGAGGGGGTGCGGAAAGAGAATTATCAACAAAAAAAATCTAACTTCATTTCAAATGAATACTATAATTAGATTGAATGGGGATTAAAAAAATAACTTGGCCAAGTATCTCAGGAACAAAGTATTTTATCCATATATACTTTTTCTAAAGAGAAAAAGACCTGCGAACAAATCTTGAATACTACAGATTTGCTTTTTTTTTTTGCAGTGATATTATTTAGCAACTCTAAAACTATTTGCTGTGTATTGGAGGACTGATCATATAAGTAAACATATTGATGATACTAGGGGCCAATTTCTGATGCTTGGAGAAAGTAAATATGGAATGGGAAAAGACCTTAGGAAGAATCCTACAATGCTTATTTGAAATTATACATACCTACGCACACTCACACACTCTTATCCCAATAATGATGAGTGTATATATCTCACTCAGACCTTTGTTCCTAAATACCATTTCCCTCTAAAAGGAGTCATGGCTCTATTAGCATCTATGGCTGGAGTAGGGACTATACAAGATAAGCCTAGTGTCTTATTGTACCAGAAAAACAAGGGTTCATACTGATGATAGACAGGTAGAGAGACCGGCAGGTTGGGGAGAGAAGCTCCTCTAACTCTTCTAAATTGTAAATATTTATACTAATATTTTGCCAATTGCTAATAGAAGGAATGGAGTCAGAAAGTCATCACTTTGAATCAGTTATTACTATGATGATTGCAGTCATCGATGAACGCTAAAACTAGTGGGTGAAAGACTAATGAGGCAGTTACATAGTCTCAAAGATATACTCACAAATTATTTATTTCAAAGGTAAAACAGCAATTTTACAGTGAAGAAACCTGGCGGGCGTGTTTGTTGAAGTGGTCGAAGCTAATGTTGCCAGTGAAACAAACATCATGTATTTCTTGTTGTGATGCACTGAGAAGTATTTATCATTCAGGTCATAAATACTCAGGCCCCAACGTTCTACTTGAATCTAAATGTGAGGAATCAAATTCAAATTTAGGGATGTTCTACACAGTAACTAACCTGCACTCTTCGAAAATGCCCATTCATGAAGGACAAAGAAGGGCGGTAGAACTGATCCAGATTAAAGACCAAAGAGGCCAGGTGTGGTGGCTCAGGCCTGTAGTCCTAGCACTTTGGGAGGCCAAGATGGGAGGATTGCTTGAAACCAGGAGTTCAAGATCAGCATGGGCAACATAGCAAGACCCCATCTCTACAAAAAATAAAAAAGCTAGCCAGGCGTGGTGGCTCACATCTGTAGTCCCAGCTACTTAGGGAGGCTGAGGTGGGAGGATCACTTGGGCCCAGTTTGAGGCTGCAGTGAGCTATGATCATGCCACTGTACTCCAGCCTGGGTGACATAGTGAGACCATGACTCCACACACACACATACACACACACACACAGTAAAGAAACATGCCAGTAAAATACAGGGCATGATACATTTTAGATTGGACTGTGAAATAGAAAACGCTATAAACATAGGGCAATTGTGGGATTTGAACAAACTGTGTATGAGGAAATGTTACTGTATCAATATGCAATGGTCTTAAAATAGGTTTACAAATTATTTTACGTCCCCCTTTGATCGTGGCTAGACTTCTGTGACTGCCTCAACAAACTAAGGCAAAAGTGATGTTGTAACTTCCTAAGGCTAGGTTAGAAAAGGCCATAGTACCTGTGTGGTTTTTCTCAGGACACTAGCTTTGAGCCAACGTGTGATGTTCAATTACTGCAAAGTCACCATGCTGAAGAGGCCACACAGAGACATGCCTGAGGAACCAAAGCTATGGCACTCTCTTGGTTCAGGCGCTAGACACGGGAATGGACAGGTCTGTGGGCAATCATGTTAGAGACCCCAGGGTATATGGGAATTCTTTTTTATTCTTTTCTGAATGTTTAGAATTAATTCAAAATAAAAGTTTGAAAACATTTTTAAAACATTACACAAAAATGTAAAAAAAATTGCTACCCTCTTTAAAGGTAACAAGATCATATGCAAACATACATATCACACACACACACACACACACACACAAGCATACAAAATTCCATCTCTGCCCACTTTTCCAGACATTCTGGGTATCTGCCAATGCCAATAATTATAAATTGATCCTCTCCCATTTCATCCTGCAAAGTATTCCCCTGAATGGATAAGCCACAAAATATTTTGACAGTAAACTAATGAAAGTTAGATTGCTCTTAATATTACCGATAGTGCAACAACAAACATCCTATTCTGTACGTCCATAACACAGGTTTATATACCATATAAAGAGATAAAGCAATTGAGTAAGATTTAGCCGTGAGGGATTTTCATTTATGCATAGTTTTGTTTCAGTTTTACTGCTTTGGTAAAATTGGTAATGGTCACTGTGTAAATCACTTTTTGAAAAATTAAAGAAAAAAATCATCCCAATCCTCCCTGCCAGAGTAAACCCATTGTTAGCATATTAATGCAAATACTTACATACATGATCTCAGTGCCTATAATCACATCTTTAGGTATACAGACGTCTATTTGGATCATATCAGGAAGGCTCAAGTGTAGTTTCCTCATGAAAAGTAAGTAATTTCTCTGTCATTATAGATCTCTATCATTTTACTGGCTGTATATTATAAGAATATACCAAGTTTATTTAAACATTTGACTTTTTTTTTTAATTCAGGATAAATATCTTTCTTTCTCTTTTGTTATAATCTGCTAAAAAGCTAAACTTCTAGTGCTTGGACTGCCAGGTCCAAGAGTATTTTGATCTTTTCACCGGCTAATGTCCAAAAAGCTCATATTGTTCCCTCACACCAAGAGAAGGTGTTGAGCGCACAATGCTGTGTGTAAAACTCAACAGGTTTCTGGCCCCTACCCCCCCTTTTGGGTGGAAGAATATGATGAAATGTGCTTGAAATCTGCTAAAGCTCTTTCTAAAGAGGTCTAGATGGAGGAAGGACTACACATAGAAAAGCAAACTGACCTAGGCCTGCATGAAAATAATGAGAAGAAACCAATTATTAGCAATTCAAGTTTACTAAGAAACTTCTTGTCATCAGTAACTACTTTTTAATACTTTTTGAATGAGGGCCCAAAAATTCCAACTGCATAAATCGCAGTGTCATGTTATTCATAAAAACAGTATTTTTCAATCCATCAAGTACAAACCAATGATACTAAAAATAATACCATACACAATTTATGATAACACTGTGCAGAGAACTGAGGCTGGATGAAGGGGGAGCCATTCCACAAGTCTTTTGTCCAAATTTGAATCATTGTGGATGGCGGTAGTACATGGTTTTTCTGTACTTTATTTCCTGAAACTAATGTTAAGGCTACTTGCAGGATTCCTTTTGATTATAAATTAATATATAGTTAGGATAGGGAACCGACTAGAATTTTCAAATATTTGTCATAGGGATTTTATCCATTTTCTTCAGTAACTGCCAGGCCCTATTATGAGCCAAGCATAGTTCTACATGGTAGAAATACAGCAGTGGAAAACACCTCCCTACATGGAGATTACGTTTCACTTGACATTAATTTTGTCTGTCAATCGTATGATTTCGTTAAAGTAAGGCCTCTCTCTTGGGTAGATTCCAATGAATAAGATTCTTCTGTGTTGCACTTCAATAATTGGGATGCTTTGGAACTCTGGTATAAACGGTGACCATATTGATAGAACAAACAGTTTTCTCTCATCTGTGAGAAATCTTGATGTCTGTGAAGAATTCATCTCCCAACTGAGTCTTTAAAATACAGTATTTTAGCTTCTTTCCTGTGAAGATTCTTGGAAGCTGCTGAGTTCTGAAGGAGCTTTCTGTAATCAGCATGGACCTCCCAGTGGAGATGAAGATGAGAACTCGACTGAAGGCTGTACCACACCTCGTATTTCACAGATTCCCTCCGGTGTGGACTCTCTGATGGTAGACAAGGTGTGACCTCTGACTGAAGCCCTTACAGCAGACATCACATATGTAAGGCCTCTCTCCCGTGTGGACTCTCTGGTGTGTGTGGAAATGCGAGGCCTGACTGAAGCCCTTCCCACACTGCTGACACGTGTAGGGTTTCTCTCCTGTGTGGACCCTCTGATGAGCACTCAGACCAGCACTCCAGCTGAATTCTTTCCCACACTCCTCACATTTAAATGGTTTCTCCCCAGTGTGAATTATCTGATGGACTTGAAGGTTTGACCTCTGGCTGAAGGCCTTGCCACACGTATCACATTTATATGGCTTCTCTCCGGTGTGGACTCTCTGATGGGCTTGAAGGTGTGAGGCCTGGCTGAACCGCTTCTGACAGGCATCGCATTTGAATGGTTTTTCCCCAGTGTGGACGCTCTGATGAGCTTGAAGATTGGAGGCCTGACTGAAGCCCTTCCCGCACTCCTCACATTTATAGGGCTTCTCTCCTGTGTGGACTCTTTGATGATTGTGAAGATTCAAGCTCCAATTAAAGCGCTTCCCACACACTTCGCATTTGTATGGTTTTTCTCCCGTGTGGACTCTCTGATGGGCTTGAAAATATGAGCTTTGACTGAAGCCTTTACCACACACACTGCATCGAAATGGTTTCTCTCCTGTGTGGACCCTCTGATGGCTCTGGAAACTGGAGGCTGAACTAAAACCCTTGCCACACTCTTCACATTTATATGGTTTTTCTCCTGTGTGGACTCGTTGATGACTATGAAGATTAAAGCTCAAACTAAAGCACTTTCCACACTCCTCACACTTGTACGGCTTTTCTTCAGTGTGGACCCTCTGATGGGTGTGCAGATTTGAGCTACAGCTAAAGCGTTTACCACAATCCCCGCATTTATACGGTTTCTCTCCAGTGTGGATTCTTTCGTGGGCCTGAAGATGGGATCTCTGCGTGAAGCCCTTCCCACACACCTCACATTTATAAGGCTTCTCTCCAGTGTGAACTCTGCAGTGAATGTTCAGATCTGTGCTACGGCTGAAGCCCTTCCCACAACTCTCACACCTGTAGGGTTTCTCTCCTGTGTGAATAGGCAGATGAGCATAAAGATGTGAGCTCTGATTAAAGCTCTTGCCACATTCATGGCAGGTGTAGGGTTTCTCCCCTGTGTGGACTCGCTGATGAGTCTGCAGATTTGAGCTCTGACTGAAACCCTTACCACATTCATGACACCAGTAGCGTTTTTTTCCTGTGCGAACGCCCTGTTGAACAGGAATACCTGAGCTGTAACTGGTAACCTTCTCGTGGGTACTACACGGAGGGGACGTCTTTCCCAAGTGTACCTGCTGGTGAAGGTCAAGACTGGAGCCGTCACCGAAGGTTTTTTCACATTCAGTACCTTGGGGGGTTTTCTGTCCTGTGTGAATACTACGCTGGGTAAGAGGTGATACCTTTAGGACGTCTTTACCACAATCGCTGTTGCTGAGAGCTGTATCTCCTTTGTGCACTATGTCACCACCACGGTGGTGTGACATGCAACTGAAAATGTCAACACATGGAGCGAAAATGCATAATCTGTTTTTCATCTGCGTCTGCTTACAACTTGTCTGATAATTCTGTGTCGCATTCAGATATATTTCACTCCAAGAATTCTGAACTCTTCCAGTTGGAAATCCTTGATTTTCAATGATACTGGAAGGATCCCCGATGAGGTTCACTAGATGGCTGTCATCCGCAGAAGCCTGAATCGATTCTCCTGCTCCCACTCGATAGGGGGAACCGTGTTGCCTGGGGAACTGAGGACTCTTTCCTTGCATATTTATCATGGAGTCTTGACTTCTGGTTAATTTGCTCACAACGTGTCTCTTGATTTGCCAGCAGGAAAGCTCTCCCAGTGAAAGGCACCTTAATCCTGCTTCATGAAGAGTCTCCATCTCATTTTGATTCCTGCCTCCTGAAAGGACAGAGAGAGAATAAGAAATTAATGACTGAGAGATGGTAGCAGCAGGTAGCAGACTAGGAAGCTCTAAGTCCTCATTTGCCCCATGGAAATGTTGAAAAACTACTAAAGACTGGCTAAAATAAATTTATGGGGGCTCTGAAAAAGTTGTAATCAAGAGAATATTGAATCAAGAAAAAGCCATATTTAAAATGGTAAGAAATTTGGGATTAGCCAGCGTGAGGTGAGGACTTAAATTCTTCTCGGGTCTTTTCTGAGCATGTGTCTTGCTGGGTCTGTGTGTGTGCTCTTTTCCATTCTCTTGTACACACAGCTACTTTTTAATGTTTTTACTTGTGACGTGGCAGGATTTGAAGTAAGCAGTGGTGGCCCAGTCTCAATTCCCTCCATCAGAACAAATGGAGTAGAGGAGATTTTACTCGCAACATGATGACCTGTCTCAGGGCTACATGAGGAACTGGTCTGTTTTGTCTGACTCACAGCCAGGATGAGAAAAAGCAGTGGAAAGCATCAGTGGGCATTGTTCATGAAATCTGCAAGGACACTACAGACCCACAGAGGCCTAGGGAAAGTGATTATGGGCACAGGAATATAATAGAACACATAAGGTGAGACTCTTTGGGAAATTAAGACCTTTAAAAGCACCTGTATATACAAAGCAATTGACACACACACATATGCACTCAGGCAAGACACGTGCTCAGAAAGACTTTAAACCCTCATCCCAGCAGATCCATGGCTCAGAACATGCTCTGCTTACTAGTGAAGGTCTTCTCTGGAAAAGAATCGGTCTACAAAGATTGGGAGACGCTTTTTCAAATGCCTAATTTTCGACAAAAAAATCCCAAAGCATACAAAGAAACAGAGAAAGAGAACCTATTCAAAGGAACAAAATAAATCTCCAGAAATCAACCCTAAAGAGGAACAAGCCTCTGACTTACTTGGCAAAGATATTTATACAACAACTATTTTGGATATGCTCAATGAGCTACAGGAGAATACTGACAGACCACTAAATGAAACCAGGAAAATGATGCATGAACAAAAGGAGAATATCAACAAACACAGAAACTATTAAAGAACCAAGAGAAATTGTGAAGCTGAAAAATACAATAGTAGAATTGAAAACTACCAAAGAATCAGCCAACTTGAAAACAGGTCAGTTGAAAGTAACAAAAAGAATGAAGAACAATGAACAGAGGTTAATGGACTCATGACTAATCATCAATCAAATGTACACATAATGGGAGTCTCAGAAGGAGAACAGAGAAAGAGGAAGAAAGCTAAATAAAAACATAATGGTTGAAACTCTGCAAATTTGAAGAAAGAAGCAGATACACAAATAACCAGAAGCTCAATGAACTCCAAGTAGGATAAACCCAAAGAGACCCACACAGAAACATTAAAATCAAACTGTTCAAAGACAAACACAGACTCATGAAAGCAACTCATCACATATAAGGGATTCTCAATAAGATTATCAGTGGATCTCTCTAAAAGAAACCTTGCAGAGCCAGAGGGCAGTGGGATGATATAGTTAAAGTGCTAAAAACCAACCCACCCCAAAAAACCTGTAAACCAAGAATACTACATCCAGCAAAACTGTGCTTCATAAATGTGAGTGAAACTGAGACATTCCCAAATAATGTACTCTTTCTTAGGTTTTGTTTACCACTAGACCTGTCCTACAAGAAATACCAAAGGGAGTTCAAGTTGAAATGAAAGCACACTACATGGTAACTTGAAGCCATATGAAAATAAAAAGTTCTCCACTAAAGGTACATCTATTGACAAATATAAAAATCTGCATTACTGTAATTTTGGTTCCTAACTTCACTTTTAATCCTGTTATAGATTTATAATTATGTTTTTATCTTAATTCTATATTAATGGGTATATATCAAGATATAATCTGTAGGATCAATAACATAAAGCGGGGAGAGCTGTAAAACAGTAGGGTTTTTGTATACAATTGATCAGTTAAAAAAAAGACTGTTGTAACTTTAGGATGTTCTATGTGATCCCATGATAATCATAAAGAAAAGAGTGACAGAAAACACACAAAAGAAAATGAGAAAAAAACCAAAGTATGCACTTCAAAAAAAGGAGAACATTAATGAAAGAAATAAGAGCCAAAAAAAAGCTGTAAGACGTACAGAAAACTAACAAAATGGCAATAGTAAGTCCTGCCTTGTAAGTAATTACTTTAAATGTTAACTAAACTCCCCAATAAAAAGGCATAGATTAGCAGGATGGATTAAAAAAAAACCAGTAGGCTCTGATTATATGCTGTCTATAAGAAATCTAAAACTTTAGATAAAAGGGCAAATATAGGATGGAAGAAGGCATTCCCATCAATAGTAACCAAAAGCAAGCAGGGGTGGACATAACTAATATTAGACAAAATAGACTTTAGTCAAAAACTGTAAGATACAGAGAAGGATATTACATAATGATAAAATGGTCAAGTTACCAAGAAGATCTAACAATTATAAACATATATACACCAAACATCAGAGCTCCTAAATATACCAACCAAACACAGACAAAATTAAAAGAAGTGGGCAGCTCTACAATAACAGTGGAGACTTTGATACTTCACTTTCAACCAAGGACAGAACCACCAGACAGACGATCAGGAAGGAAATAGGATTTGAACAACACTATATACCAATTGGACCTAAGAGCCATATACAGACCGTTCCACTCAACAGCAGAATATACATTTTCTCAAGCGCATGTGGCACGTTCTCCAGAATTGACCTTATGTTAGGCTACAAAATAACTCTTAGTAAATCTTAAATGGTCAAAATCTTATACAGTATCTTTTCTGGTCACAATGGAAGGAAACCAAAATCAATAGCAGAAGGAAACCAATGTATCAAAGACGAAATCAGAAGGGAAATTAGAAAATACTGAGATGAATGAAAACAAATATACAACATACCAAAACAGATGAGAAAACAGTGCTAAGGGGAAAACTTATAGCTGTAAATGCTTACATTAATAAAGCAAAAAGATCTAATCACCAACCTAACTTTATATTAAGGCACTGGAAGGAGAATAAAATTGACAAACCTTCAGCTAGATTACCAAAAAAGAAAAAAAACAAAATCAAATGACTAAAATCAAAAGTGAGGACATTATTATTGACTTTACAGAAATAATAAGGATAATAAAAGAGAATATGAATATACTGGGTAAGCTACATGACATGGATACATTTTTAGAAAAATGCAACCTACCAAGACTGAATCATGAATTAACAAAAAATGTAAACAAATCTGTAACTAACAAGGTTACTGGATCAAAAACTTACCCAAGGAGGTGAAAGACTCATACATTGAAAACTGCAAAATGTTGCTAAAGACATAAATAAATGGAATGATACCCTGTGTTTGTACATTGGAAGGCTTAATGATGTTAAGATGTCAGTACTACCCAAAGCAATCTACAGATTCAATGCAATCTTTATCAAAATCCTAATGGTGTTTTTTGCAGAAATATAAAAACTCATCCTAAAATTCATATGAAAATTCAAGGAACCCCAAATACCTATAACAATCTTAAAAACAAAAGAACAAAGTTGGAGGACTCACACTTCCTCATTTCAAAACTTGTTACAAAGACATGATAATAAAAACAGTATATTACTGGTATAAAGACAGACATATAGACCAATGGGATAGAATAGAAAGCCCAGAAATAAACCCTTGCATACAGGGTCAAATGATTTTTGACAAGGGTGTTAATACTATTCAATGGGAACAGGACAGTCTTTTTAACAACGGATGCTGGGAAAACTGGATATATACATGCAAAAGAATCAGGCTAGACCCTTACCTTACATCACATACAAGATCTAAACATAAAGGCTTTAAAAGCTATAAAACTCCTACAAGAAAACAGGGGAAAAGGTTTATAATATTGGATTGGGCAGTGACTTCTTGGATATGACACCAAAGCATAGACAACAAAAGTAAAACTGAAGTATATGAAAATTCTGTGAATCAAAGGACACAATCACTAGAGTGAAAAGATGACCTAGGGAATGGGAGAGAATATTTGAAAATCATATATCTATCTGATAAGGAATTAATATCCACTATATATGAACTCTTACAAATAAAAAAAACTAATAGGCACAGTACTTGAATAAACATTTCTACAAAGAAGATATACGAATGGCCACCAAACTCATGAAAAGATACTCAACATCACTAACCATTAGAGAAATGCAAATCAAAGTTACAATGAGATACAACCTTACATTCATTAGTTACGAGTACTATCAAAAACATTAAGGGCTGAGGTAGGAGAATCACTTCAGCTATGATCATGCCACTGCACTCCAGCCTGGGCAACTGAGCAAGACCTCATCTCTTAAAAAGAAACAGTAAGTGTTGAGTATGTGAAGAAACAGAAACCCTTGTGTACCGCTGTTAGGAATATAAAATGATGCAGCTGTTAGGAAAACAGCGTGGTGTTTCTTTTGAAACAATAATAGAATCACCATATGAGCCAGCATTTGCACTTCGTGGCATATACAAACATAACTGAAAGGTAATCAAAGAGATATCTGTACCCTCACGTTCACAGCATTATAATAGCCAAAAGGTAGAAGCCACCCAAGTATCCATCAACAGATGAACAGGAATAAACAAAATGTGATATATAAATACACAATTATTCAGCTTTAAAAAGGAAGCAAATTCTGATGCATGCTACAACATGGATGAATCTTGAGGACATCATGCTAAGTGAAATAAGCCAGTCTCAAAAGCCAAATACTGCATAATCCACTCATGCAAAGTACGTAGAGTACCTGAAATTCGTAAATTCATAGTGACAGGAATAGAACAGTGGTGAACGGGGGGAATGGAGAGTTAGTGTTTAACGGGCACAGAGTTTTAGTTTGTGGACAGGGTGGTGACAGTTGCAAAAACAATGTAAATGTACTTAATGCCACTGAACTGTATACCTAAAAAATAAAA